TCTCTCTCTCTCTCTCTCTCTCTCTCTCTCTCTCTCTCTCTCTCTCTCTCTCTCTCTCTCTCTCTCTCTCTCTCTCCAGGTACTAACCTGCAAAAGGTGTTGCCTTGATGCAGGTACGGACCGACTGAAGACGAAGCTGGAGCAATGGCGTCACAGGTAAGTCGTCAGGTAAGTCCCCCTGGCCTCCACCATAGCCGGTCTCCCCTCAACCTCCACTGTAGCAGGGCTGTTGCGCTCAGTCCTGGCTGAAGTCCTAACGCAGTGCTCAGCGCTGGAAGACTACGGTACTACCTTTCGTCGACTAAGCTACTGCCTGAAGAATGCCTACCTCCTCCCAGGCCGACCAGCTATATATAGCGCTGGTCCGACTGGGAGGCTGTTCCCACCAGTGCCGAACGACGCCAGTATCTGGCACCCAAAACTTGGCGCCTAACTTGGCGCCCAAATTCGAACTCGTTTCGAATTTTGGGAAGGGCCTCAATGGCCTGGCGCCTACTGGGCCTCTACCCAAAGTCTGGCGCCAAAAAAAGCGCCAGGGCCTCCTCAAAACGGGGCCTACAGACCTACGGACCTACGGGCCTACAGGACCTAAACTGGGCCGAGACGACACAAGGCCCAACTGGGCCTAACTACCCCCTAACCAACCCCTAGTCCTACCTGGTCGGGCCCAGTAGGGCCCATGTGGTACAGTGTATGCCACACTTGCTACCCATCCGCTGGCCGTGCCTTCCATGTTTGCTGCTTGCGTGCCTTGTAGGTTGGTTGCCTTGTGCTTTGCTGCACGGTTGCCGAGCTGCGAGTCCGCTCGCCCTGTCGTCCCTTGCGGTGTGGTTACCTTGCTTGTGTTAACTTGTGCTTCACTGCACGGTTGCTGTGCTGTTCATCCCCCATCAGCTTGCCGTGTCGGTCCTTGCAGTCATTTTCTTTTCGGCGTTGTGCAGCCGTGTTGCCTCTACTGTGTTGCCTGGTGCTCCGCAGGGTTGCTGCCCACTGCTATGTTCCGCTTGGGGACAGTCTGCCTTCAACATGGGTCAAAGGGTTCATGACCCAAACCATCCAATACAGAGATTCCGCAGATTGTCAAGGGTTCAGCCTCCTGATGAGTCGGTGCAACTCCAACGAAACAATCTATCATCAGTTGTATTTTTTTTTTTTTTTTAAATCTTTTTCACTTTTGCAATCATACTCGACTTCTTCACACTTGTCATCCATGCAAACAGCGAAACAACAAACTGGCGACATGCACCCACACAGTACTCAAAGATATCGTAACCAGGTAAGAGTTCTCTTCAAACTGGCTATGGCGACTGAGCGCCCACACAACTCACTGTTCGCACTCTGGATCACCCTGGATGTCCCACACGCACACTCAGTGTTCATACCCAACACCCATACAGTACACAAACTCTGCACTCTACACTGAGCTATGGC